AGAGAGATCGGAGAAGGTGGTTGGCTCTTCCGTCGGTGGGCCGAGGAACAACCGGAAGAGAGCGGGTTGCCGCGGATGGAAGAAGCGACTTGACCCCTCTCCACGATGGCAAGTGCACGATGGCAAACTCCGCGAGAGCATGGCGAACAAGATGATGAGAGGTGGCGGTCGCCGGAGCGTAAAATATGAAGAAGTAATCATCCTGGTAGCAGCTGGCCAGGACTTACTTCGAGACGAAGGTTTCGAAACGATGGTTCCAGGGGACAGGAGCACCGTGTGGCTGCCTGAACGCGAGACTAGAACAACGGAAGGGAGGGGTTTGTCACGATAGTTGCGGCGGAAGAGACTGGAAGGGGGAGGGGGGAGGGGGGTGGAAGTCGTCTACGCGGGCGGTGGAAGTGGAGGACAGTAAATTCAGTGAAGCATAGATTGCAGTCGAGGGTTTCAGCCCGGGGTCGAGCTTAATTTCGCGGCCACCTGGAAATCCTTTGGTATCGTGCCAACTCATTGCCGGATTCATTCATAACGAAAGAGACTTACAGCCCTCAAAGGTATCGTGCGTCCTGCCTCTTCTATCCACACAGCATGCCCTCCCTATGTCTTTGTCTCTCTGGTAATTCTAAATAGACGATTTCGACTAGGCCAGACGATTAAATCGTGAAGCGAGCGCCGCGCGCGGTTCCCTCCCCGTTTTCCTTTCTTTGCCCACTCGTGAGAACGATCGAGCGTAGTTTGATCAAATTGCCTTTGTGTTGAATCCATCACAAGTAGATTGTTTCCGACGAGATGATTGTTGACAATTGATCACAGTTGTACGTCAGATTCTGATATAGAACTTGAAATCAATTCACTGCGGATTTTTATATACAGATTCAGAATTCATCTTTTGATCTGTACAGCCGTTTCAAAGAATACTATGCATTTTGTATTTCAAGAGGCATCATTAAAAAAGACTAAGGTCTAAAAGAGGAAAAAAGTTTTTTTACAATAATTGGGGCTACTTTTAGTAAAAAAATGCGCATTCTTTTCAATCGGCAGTCGAAATAGAGAATATTATAAAAATTATTATACTGCAAATATTCTAGAACACAACTTCGTATATTATGCGTATCGTGAAATCCCATCTCGCGGAAGTCGGAAGTCTTAGAACAGTTGTTAATAATAACGTGTTACATCCGCTTCGAAACTGTGAAATGTTAAACAATTTCCACTGCGAGCAACACCGGATTCTAATAGCTCTGCATCGCGATAGTATATTATATAAAGGGAGAGCGCCTGTAGCACAGCGGGGGTGAGTAAGTCACCGCCTTCGGAGTTCCGTGGATGTTAAATCCTCGAAACGATGGTGACTACACGCCTCTAGACAATTCCCGACGCGAGAATTTCTGTCAGAAAACCTAATCCAGCGGCTCAGGACAACGTAATTAAGACGCGTCGTTTCTAACGAGACGTCTCGGTAAAGCGATACCACTGGCTCACCCCTTCGCCACCGGGTAGGCGGAGACCAGTTTGAAAGCGGAAGGTGCTTCCACTGCGCCTCCAATTACCACCGAAGCGTTTGCTTTCCTTAAACAGAGACACGATCTTGTCAGCCACGCGACACCTCCGCATTTTTCAACGGTCGCGTGTAGAATTAGACGTTCAACCAGGTTTATGGACATGGTTAGAGGAGATTGTTACATTTTTGAGAAAGATTTTCG